TTTTTTACGAAAGTGATAACAAATCGCCAAAAACCAATGTAACGCAAGAAATACTAAATTTATACCATTGGCGTACTTAACTCGAATGACTGACATTTTTACCGTTACTACTTGTTTGTACATAAGTTTCAACTTTAAAATCTAAAGTCTGTTGTAAAGAGAATTGTAAGAGCTTTCAAAAGAAATATTACTCAACCCCCAATGCCATTTAAATATTTTGGGGTGATGCTTACCCTTGCTTGGGGGTGAAAGTGGCGGAGTCAAAAATACCAGCAAAGAATGTCCCCCTTTAATCCAAAATCGACGGGTCTGAGCGTTTTTCTACGATCTCGACGCAGTTCCTGAAAATGGCTCCGTTTCGTTTTCATTTGGCCACCCTGTATGTATAATCTAACTCATTAACGTGGTATCCAGACCTGCGGGAGGTCGTAGTGATCAGGGATCGAATATACCGCATTTATTACTTAAAAAATAACTCCTTTCATTAAAAAACATTTAATATCGTGTAATATACAATATAGAATCAACTCCTTATTCTAGGTATTAATTAAATATTAAATTATGTACAAAAATGCTTAAATCTACGCAACAACTAATAGTCATCATCATCGTCGTATTTCGAGGTGGGGTACTGGAAAGGCCGTCTTTGCTGCAGGGAAATATTGATCTCTTCCGGCGATCTAAAAACTTGTCCCGTGGAACCCTGGGGCTTGAGCGTGGACGACAAACGTTGTGGAACGGCTTGGGGCGCTACTGGCTGGACTCGCACAATCGCAGGGGAGACTAGACGTTGTTGGACTGGCACCCGCACCTACAACATACGTTTAATTTTATTAATAATCTTATTCAAGCAGTCGAAGCCAGGATCGAAGTTGCATAGATTTGATCATTATCGTATCTGCTTTGCGATTCATAGGTGGACAACCCTGGACAATAAAATGTTCGACTTAAACCAACCGAAGCATGGAACTGCCAAAATTGTGTTCAGGAAATATTCAAAGAATTTCTAAAGAATATTTTTTTTTTCAAAATGGACCTCCATATGAAACTGCCTCTTCAAAGGATAATAAATAGTAATACAAGTAGGTACTGATAAAAAGTTATGTATACGGTATGTCCGCGGTTAGAGTGAATAAGAGGATTAACTTTTTAATTTCAAGTAGAAGGTTGTGAATAAATAATATAATATAATAATAAAGTGATATTTTATTCTTCACTCGTGTCACTGTACTTCGTCGTCGTGTAATTATCGGTTAAATGGTAACTTCACAGCAAAAAATATATCTAATACAGTGCTACGGTAAGGGTGACAACAGTTATCGCCAAGTAATTCAATTAAAAATACCCAGGTGTGCATGTGGCGTAGTCGTCTTTACATAAATATAGTGTTGGGCGTGACTTCTATGCTAGTTTTTTTAACTCATTCCAATTGTTTGCCTCGTACAAAATAGGAATGCACCCGCAAAACTCACCGCATCACCATTAACATCTAATTCAAATAATTCATTTAAATAAACGTCTAATAATATAGGGCTCAAGACGGTTCCCTGTGGCACACCTTATTTTACAGTTTTGTGTTCACTGTATTTATTCTTACACACTGTTGTCTATTTGATATAACTTTTTATATGAATTTATCACTATAGATGCTAAATATTATGTAGGTACAATAACATATTAGTTTCCATAGTCATAAAAATGGGGGGAAGATTGTTTACAGAATGGTTAATTGTATAATTTTTACGTAAATTCAGGCTTTTCGCTTATAACTTTTTTCCGTTCATTTCCACAAGAGAACAATAAAGTACTTTTTTTTCCTCTTCAAAACTCCTACAAAACTAGCTCCCGAGCGTCAAGATATATTGATTAGATCAAAAGTTATAAACGAAGAAGTTTATTTATGATTTTTAAATTAAACATTTATAAACTGTGTTATTATTACGAGAACCTTTTGACATCGCATCCTCTCATTCCTTATCACTGTCTAATAATTCACACGAAATCTGGAATCGGTAAGTTGAATAGTTTACAAGTTATGGCCTTATAAACAAATTAACTAATTATTAGTCTGGACAATCCCGAGGATCTTCCACAATCGCCAATTTTTTCATGGTAGATTTCATAATAATGCGTTAAAATGTATCATTTTTTTTTAATTTCAAATTTGCAACCTGGAATTTTTTTTTAGATTTTAGCCTTAGTTGCAAAATGAAATATACGACGCACGAGGGTGATATAGTTATATATTATTACATATTCGGAAAGCTTATGAAAACAGTTTTAAGTTAAAAAAATCGTCAAGATTCGTTAAAAAAACAACGGACAGACACCGCGATGTCCAGATTTAACAATCATGGACTTTTTTACCTGTGGGGCCGACTCAAACAAACTATGTATAGCAACTAGTATAACTGTGTATAGCAGGCCTTTGGACAATAACATCGAGCAGGTAAAACAACGAATTAGAGACGCTGTACAGTCCATATCTTTAGAAGAGATTAGACGCAGCTACAATGAATTCCTTGCACGCCTTCAAGTTTGTGTGAACGTTGGGGGAGGAGTGTTCGAATAATGTTTTATTATACATACATTTTTTTCCAAATTTATTATGTTTTGTAAAAATTTAAAACAATTTTGTGTGCGAATTGTTTTATTTAAAAACTCAAGTAACTTTTTTGCACGACTTGCAAAATATCACTTTTCAGAAATATTAAAAATAAAGGTAGTTTACTCTCGAGACATTTTAAGATTTTTTTATTTTCTGGACACCCCGAACATGGAATGTTAAGTTTCACCATGTCAAGCTCATTTTAAATCCAAGCAAAACTGTTTATCAAGTGTGCTTTTTCTCCGTAAAATGTAAAATAAAAAAGTTTTTCCTGAACTGAAACTAGAGGAAAGACAGACAGACATTTAATACGGATTCGATGACGTATTTTTTCACAGCCCTGGTAATATCAATAACTTAAAAAAAATGTTTTTCTAATAAAATTTGCGCCTAATCAATTTCTTAATCTTAATTTAATTTTAATTTTTTAAAATGGAACATTATTGTATTTTTTAATTTTTCATTGGAAATAAAAAAATTGAAAATATCTTTTGCAGAAACCTCAAACCCAATTCTTCTGGTCCTTTGCTGGCTTCCTCATTTCCTGTAATGATTTTCCTTTCGCTCCTAATCCTCTTCCTCCCTAATCAGCTTTTCCTTGATCTATCTCTTCGTCTTCTCGTTGTTCTCGTCAGTTCTGTTACTATCTTGACTATATTATTGCTTTCCATTCTAGCTATATGACCATAGCAATTCAATTGCTTCATTTCTGTATTAACGATTATGTCTTGTTATAATTTGGCCTCTTGTCTGATTTTATTATTTTTTCTTCTCTCCCATTTAGTCATTCGTGTTATTTTCCTCATGAATTTCGTTTCGACATCATCAGTTTAGTCTCATACTTTTTTCTGTAATATCCAAAACTCATTTGCGTACGTTGCTATTGGGCGTACTATTGCTTTAGGGACTTTTAATTTTATGTCTTTTCGAATATGGTTTTGTTGGGAGTATGGTACAAAGTCCTCTTTATTTGTTTCTGTTATTTCTCCATTTATTTTTATCGTTCTGTTGTCTTAGTTATGCTCTTTTCTCCGCGTTCAACTTCAGTTCTAAATTTTCTCTCTTGTGTCCAAAAGTTAACTATTTTTTATTTCATGTTTACGATATCAGAGAAAGTTGTTTTTTTTTGTAACATGAGTATGTTGGTAAGCTGAAGTTGAAGCTATTTAATGCAAACGGCAATGATTTAATATATCCATTAATGTCAACATGACTACGTTGCATGAATACAAGCTTTTATAATACTTCGACAGAAAGGGTTGTTGGAAGATATTAGGCGATCCTTATTATATCAAAATGACACTACTAAATATTGCTTAACTTACAGAGTGTTGGTGTTGAACTTGAGCCGGTTGTTCCTCATCGTAATCGTCGTTCCTTTGGCGGTAGACCTCGGGATAGTACCTGTCGGAGTACCTCAAAGATACGTTCGGTTTCTGCTGGTGTTCCTCCAAGTTCACTGGTTTGTACAAGAAGTCGTTTACGAAGTGATAATCCGAAGACTTTTCGCATATGTTGTCTCCCCCTGGAGGCATGCAAATCAAATGTACCTGAAAGAAAAGATTTCAGAACAGGCAACTTGCAGGACAATTTAATTTTTTATACATTTGTTGTCTGTGATCAATAACAACTAACAGTGCTAAAATATCATTTGAATGATGTTACAGATGAATGACAGATGTTTAAAATTATGTAAAAATTTAGATTTTGTCACGTGATCACGTATTGCGACGTCATTTAGTGTGACCCAGGAAACAACTTGTTTCTCGGCCGTATGCCGTCAGGCTTACAATTCCTATGCTGACGAGACGGACCCTGATCTATAACAACACGCATGCGGGGAGCACTAAATGACGTCACTAATTAGCGAGGCAGCAAGCACCCCTTTAATACATTCATTGTGTACATCAAATTTTAATAATTATGAATTAACAACCCTTAAGAGGTTTCTAATATTTTCACTACATGATTTATGAGGTTATGGATTACTGCCCATTTGTGAATAAACTAGTGGTGATGATTCTGATTAAACTAATGAAAAAATTGGACAAAATAGTCGATTTGCAGAACTTCTTACTAGAACAGTAAAAGTAGGCTTTGACGTTTGTGTTTCAAGTCATCTATTTTGTTCTACAGAAAAATTCCAAATATTATGTAGAATAAGAATCCGAGTTTGCCTATTCCAAAAAACCGTTGCAATATTCAGGGAACAACAAACATACGAAAAAAACGAAAAATGATCCGTTCTTGGACATATTTTTTCATGTAACATTGAAAATAAGCCCTAAATCAAAAAAGTTATTCTTTATTTTTTGTTTATTTGACGATTTTCTATAAAGCTTCAACAACTGCAAATCAAGAACGTTGAATTTTGCATTAACAGTGGGCGAAAAATGTATATTTGCAGCAATTTTTAAAATAAGTAAATATTTATAAATATTGATGAAACTGTGTGAACAAACAGTAAAACATATGTCAATTCTACCCTAACAATTTTGCAACGATCGATTGCGTGGTTTTCGATTCGCAGGATTGTTAATTAAGAAGATTTCAAAAGTTTATCGCGTACAGTGGGTAGATTCTGAAGATAAGCGTAAAGTTAATAATAATTTATAGCTTACGTAATCATGAAGTCGTAAAAAAGAATATGGTTTTATAGCTAACTACAAGTACTTTCAATATCCGTTTAGTGCATTTTCGGCAGATAAAAGCTTAATGAAAGAAAAATCAATCACTAACGACACTTACAGTGTACGATAATTCAATAAACAAAGAAATCTAAATAAAAAATTTAGATAAATTTGGAACGAATACACTGAAGATGAATTTTTCGGGACAAAACGTCTGAATCTGGTTCGGGCTGAGGCAGTACAGTATTTGGGATCATGAAGGCTTGCAAAAAATGTAATAAAATTTCTAGGGTCGTATTTAAAAAATGAAGTTGATGATGGTCCTGGAGAGACGAAACGTTACATATAAAAATTGATTATGCCATTCGATAGAGAGCAAAAAATGGCCATGAAAAAGTGTTCTTCCTTTTCCAATATCACTTCAAACAAGGGTGAAAAGAAACAAAAACAGATTTCCAAAATTTCATTTTTTTTTCAAATATTTCGAAAACTAATCATGTTAGCCTTGATTTTTTAGAGGCAAAATGTTGGTCTCCTGATTACGCAACTTTGCCCCCCTTTAAGCTAGTTTGTATCTCTTACCGTTTTCGAGATCCCTGTAGTGAGAAACGAATTTGTAACAGCCTGAGTAAAATTTTTAAAAAATTCTAAATGGTTTTAAAAGTGTAAAAATTGGTATTTTTAGTATTGATCATTGTTTATTATGACAACAAGTATCTCTAAAAAATTGTGTACCCTTTCTAAACCTTAATTTAAACCCACGCCACGGTACGTGATAAATTTTTTTAAATTTTCTTAATTAACAATCCTGTCAATCGAAAACCACGCCATCGATCGTTGCAAAATTTTTAGAGTAGAATTGACATATGTTTTACTATTTGTTCACAAAGTCTCATCAATATTTATAAATATTTACGTCGTCAAATAAACAAAAAATAAAGAATGACTTTTTTATAATAAATATTTGTGATTTTTCTGTATGACAAAATAGATTACTTCAAATACAAACGCCTCAAATGCTCTACCGTCTGAACTATAGATATATTTTATGATTTTAAGTTTTGTTCGTTTCGACTAATGGAAATTTAAAACCTTAAATGGTTTGAATTGTCCCTATTTAACTATGAGGGAATTTCTTCATCAGTAAATATTAAACAAAACATTGAAAACTCTGCTCCACGACTGCAATAAGCATCTTAAAGTCGATGGCACTACTCGACGGTGAGTGAAGTATTTATTTACATAGACAATTTTTTGTCTGGCATTTGTTTATTTATTTGATGGTTACCACTTTTCATCAAAACGAGTAATATAAATATTGATAATGTCAACGGTATGTTTTGATTAAAAAGTATTTTGGGTACATTAACTCTTGGTTTCCAAACAAGATTATTTGCATTAGTCACTTCGTATAAATGTTCCTCAGAATACTAAACCGAAATTATCTTTTTTAATCAAATAAATAATCGAGGTACAATTCATTTTGCACTTAAATTCTGGTTTACTTGTTAGTCAGATAGATTGGATATATTTTAAAAAATCGCAAAATTTAATACAGTGTTACTATTTTTTTGGAGCACTGTGTTTAGTTTGTGAATCTCAATGTCAATGATCTAATGTAAGTGAACTTCATAATACCAATCCACCTGATGAATATAAATTTTAGCACTTGTTTTTTTTACCTGGTGGAATGTGAATCCCTCTGGGCAGATCCAAGAGTGCTTGGCGTTGTCTTGGCAGTAATGGAATACCTCACAACTCAAACCTTCGTCAGCGTAATAACCAGTATGTCTTCCATCGCAGAGGAATTTTGATTGGGGAAGGAGAAGGCTCAGCCTGTCAGGTTCCTCCTTCTCCTCCTCTTCTTCCAACTTGTTGGCATCCTGAGAAATAGGACCAATTTATATGACAAATGATACAAATGTTCAAATTTATGATAGGTACTGGTTCCATTTTTAATACAATGATTTCATTGTGTATCGGTTTAATACATGGACCTACATACCTGGATAATTTCTCCATTTCTAATGTATTGCTGCTGAGTTGCAACGGGTTTTGGAGTTGGTGAAGCGTAAACTCTCGGTTGAGTCGTGCGAACTATCTGTGGATAGTTTTGTCCCTGTAGAGTCTTTGAAAGGGGGATGGGGTAGTTTTGGTTGATGTACGTGGGAGCTCGGTCCTGACTCGATTCAGCGTCACTGAAAATCATTAACAAGAGTTGAGAGAAGTAGACCTAGACTAGCATATTTCATGGAGAAGTCAAGAACTTTAAAGTCACCGGCGAGTTTGTGGTGTGAATATGATTAAGTCAACTATTTTCATATAGGAGAACGTAGATATATCAAAATACCCTAAACTCAGAGCATTTTTGAAACGTAAGAATGACGGCTATACTTCCTAATAAGATTGCACAGTTTTTGAAACTAGAACATCCTGAAACATATACAGGCCATCCATTCCGAAGAACATCGGCGACGTTACTGGCTAATACAGGAGTTGATGTATTAGTAATCAAGAGACATGGTGGGTAGAAATCAGGCACAATTGCAGAAAGTTATGTTGCTGACAGTTTAAGTAACAAAAATGAAATAGCCAACAGGATTTTTTACAATGGCACTTCAACTCCAGGTTATAGTAGCATAGTGGGAGCAGATAAAAGGTATATTTACCTTAACTGGCCAATTTTAACATTTCATGTCATGAAATAATATGTATTGGTGTACAGACAATTCAACAATTGGTGTTTCGAAATAAGGGAAGAATCTTGGAAGAAAATGGCTTTTGTTGGTGTCGTTTAACATGTACATTGGAATTGATAGTCACACATGTTTTGTCATTTAAATTACAGATTTGTTCTCTTCAGTAATTAGATTGTATCAAAAAATACTATTACTTTGAAGTCAAATTTGTTATTTTCTTTCCAAATTTAAAATATTAGATTTCGTTCCATTTTTGGATTTTTTTATTTATGTTTATAACTACCATATTTACTGCTAATGCACGTACTTCTCTACATTTAGTGTTATTTTTTTAATAAATATCTTTTTGTTACTTTCTATAGTCTGTTACAATTGCACCTTGACATTTTACAAATGAGCTCGATGTCATTTGTAACAATTGCCAGTACTAGTCAGTATAAACTCTTTTAACAAACTTCTTTCACTTAACTGTATGCTCTCAGATGATTAGTGTCGTTTCTGTTGCAATATATACCCTTAATTAAACAATGAAAAGAATGAAAAATAAAATGGGATGAAACCTTCAGAATTTCGTACCTGTCAGGTTCATAGTCTTTATCCACCTCCCTGTAGGCTGCTGTGGGCACAAATGTCTTCACTGTTTCGCCAAATCCTCTCTCCTGAAGGTGCCTCACTTGTTCTGACGACAGCTGGGTATATCCCGGGGTTTGGGTGACGGGTTGGGGGATACAATGCACCAGACTTATCGCCAGACACGACGTTATCACAAAGAGCTTCATACTGAAAACAAAATAGACAACTTTAAGATTTCTTTTTCATAACTGAAACGGGATAAGTATTATTTTTAACTTTCGAAGGTTTTTTTTATTATAAACGCTATTATCATGGAAGTAGATCTTAGACTTAATCAACAATTCCCTTTTTTTTTAACTGATCTTAAGTCGCGTTCAATATCTGAACGTCAAAGCTCTTCCGCAGTAACCAAAAAGGAACCGTTAATGTTATTCTTTTGAAAATACACCGCTGTGTGACGTGTCACGTGCACACATGGGCATTACGGGAATTAATTTAGCCTGCAACTACTGCATTTGGAATATTAAAAAACGATATAAACTTTCCAAATGGAAATATTTCTAGGAAAACGAAAGACGCTGTTGAATATTTTGTTACAAAGACGACTTACGTAATCTGGTGCGCTACGCTTTGAAATATCCGAAACTTGAATAAAACAAAAACCGAGAACGCCAGTTCAAAGTTGATGTGACTTGATAAACTTATTGGTACACTTTTTTCTTACACTCTTCAGCAACGAGTTGAGTTGAGTTCAATGATAATGTTTCCCTAGTAATGTTTTTTTTTAATATTTTTCTTTTAAAATCTACAGAAAAAAATAAATTTTATACACGACGATGAAATATATTCTCGTCTAGTACAACAAATAACTGTTATCGCAAGTGTCAAAATTTGAAACCACATTTTTCGACAACTTTGCTGGTGTTTCGAGTTAGTTTTTGAAAAAATATTGTTTGATATATAATTGCGAAGTTGCTTTTGCATTCTTGAACTTTTTTACTTGCAAAAAATCTCCAGTCTTGAATACAAAAGCTATACGTCTCAACCTAGAATAGAAAATAACTATTCTAATTCCAGCTGTGTATTAAAAAGAAGTAATTTATTTTAAATACTTTTAGTGTCAACCAATGAAAAACTACTTCCTGCTTTGCGTCCTACTGACGTCAATAGCTAAATATTAGTGCCAAATTAAAAGCTAAAAATATATATCTCCTACGTCAATATGTCTAATAAATTATGACAGATATTAACTTAAACTCAATTAAGTTTAATTAAAAATATAATATACGCTTAGCCATAACAGAGACATTCGCACTTCAGTTGTTATCAAACTGATTTTAAAGCTTTTATTTCGAGCAACAAACAAGAAACGTCAAAGTGATAACTGATAACCGCTTTGATTCTAACTTTGGTGTGATGTTATCCCGACTAAAATTATTATTTAACTGTTTATTAATAAGTACTACTGTGTTAGTTTACTTTTCTTCATTCTTTCGTACTGACTTATTCAATGAATTTGAATAAACACCATTCAAACAGTTGCATTACAAAATACGCAGCTTTCTCAATTTCGTCGATAACTAAATCAAGAGATGAAAAGGGTCATCTTTGACGCAGAATGTTTTTTATCGGACAATTTCAACAACAATCATTAAATGCTTCCAATTAGAAATCTATGTTTTCACAATAATCTGCTTTTTATCAATAATAAGTTCCCTAGAGCAGCGTATTCAGAGATTTATAATCTTAAAAGTAAATGTAGGTGTCTTTTTTGTTCTATCAAATATAGCTAGTTTCAAAATAATCAGAAATATGTGTCTGGTTCGTTTGAAGTTACTTTTTTTGTGAAAGTTTCTCCAACACAATTCAGCAGAACAGTTAATGCTTGTAATTTTAAATATTTGTAGATTATTTATCTTGATTAGCTGTTTCTAGGCGTACAGTGGGTATCAGTGCGTTTATAGTAACGGATATAATCACGATCTGTCGGAAAATTATATACGAATATATATTAAGGCATAGTTTTACCTCCATCTCATGTATATTAATGTAACTTTTTATTAAAACTGGAACTAATTAGGTATCAACCAATCCGTGTACCATTATTCAATAAGTCCTAAATCACTTTGAAGCTGTGCACGATGTGGATTTACATAAAGTTTAGTATCATCTACAAACTGAGGACATTTGCACTGTGTTAAACTGGTTAAAAGTATATTAATAATAGTAAAACCAGTACAGATCCTTGAGGACCACCACTCACAACGTCCAGTGTATCATAATTCAATTCACCACAAAATACTCTGCCTTACAAAAGGTCTCTATCTAGTGAAGTAATTGCCCACGAACGCCAGAATGATCAAGTTTTGCAAACAACCTTCTAAAAGGAACTTTGTCAAAAGCCATGCTAAAATCAAGATATAAAACATGAAATGAATCAGAATGATGAGCTGCTTTAGTCCAATCATTGGCAAATTGAAGTAGATTGGTGGTAGCAGGTAGATTTGCCCGGAAGAAAACCATGGTGATATATAGGGATAACCTTGTTCTCAGTTGCAGTAATGTTAATTTGTTAATATTTCTCTGCGATCGACTTATTAACCCTTTTTTTAAATATACAGGGTGGTCCCGAAGTAATGGGCCAAAATTCATAGGTAGATTCCCCAAGTAAAAATATTGCGATTTAGCCGAACTTACCTTAGTCCAAAAGTTGATACTTAAAGAGATACAGGGTGTTAAATGTAAAATATTATTTCAGTTTTTTTTTAATTTATTCCTTAACAACTGTAAATATCCTCACAAAATTTTGGGGATTGGAGTTCTTTGAGTAGAGGAATTGAAATCTGTTCACATTTTGGTTAAAGTTAATAGAGGGCGCTAGCTGCAGTAGATTGATTGTGTTAAAAACGACATAACTTTTTTGTACTTTAAGGTAACTCATCTTTGGTAACAAATTCTTATTTCTCAACTTTTTTTGCACAAAAAAGGTATACTATACTAAAGTAGGTATCTCGCTCCGTTTTCGAAATATCTGGCTTTGAGACTTCCAATGCTGTTGCATTAAATTACAATTAAGTACCTACAGGTATTATTAATTTAGCGGTAAAGTTTCTTAAGTAGGATTTGGACGAAAATCAAATAATTGACGTCTTCCACTTGTCTTATTGCTGTCATTTGTATGCTAATTTCTATTAAGTATTATTCGTATCTAATTAAAATTACATCTTAGCTTACAAATTAAATTGTATACTCGTATACATAAATGTGAGATAGAATGCCGAGGTTTTCGTTTTTGGAGTTACATGAAATCAGCTGTTTATGGAGAAACTATAAACACTTGAGAAGAACTTTAGTAGCAGGTTTTAAATGCTGCAAAGTCTTTTCGCATTAAAGATTTATGCTATAAAATAAGACAATCTTTTAATAAACATGTTGATAAATGTATTGAAATTAGAGGTGGACATTTTGAGCAATTATTGTTAAAAAGGCATATTTTTTACTAATGTTTACTATTTTACTGTTCATTACAATTTTTGATTCTAAATAAACCCTTGTTTTTGACATTTCTAAATTATTTTAATTATTTCAGCTATTAGCGTTGGAAGTTCCAAAGCCAAATATCTCGTAAACGGTGCGAGACAGCTACTTCCATAAAGTCTACCTTTTTTTGTGTAAAAAAAGTTGGAAAATAAGGCGTTTTCCAGCGAGTGTATGAAAATTGGATTCGAAGGTGTCGTGCATGCATGGAAAATGGTGGTGGACATCAAATTTGGAACTGACAAAGTACCCTGTGGATCTTCAGTATGATTTATGATAAGAAATAAAAAAATGACAAACATATCAGCTCCTTTTTTATTATCACTAACATAGTTATACTCGTGAGATTCAATCATAAAAGTCATTGAAGAGCACTTTTATAATACTTAACGTAGGTTCTACCTATTATTCTGGATGTATTATAAATTATAATGGAAAACTACCCATACCTACACAGATTATAAAAATGTCTATGAGCTGAGTAATAATAATAAAAATGTATAATTTGAGTAAAGTGTTTATCGATTAAGAAATATTTTAAGTGATCTTTTATCTGGTCCTGATTTAAATAATACAGCAAGTTATGAAAGAACAAAAGTTTCACCTGTACTGTCCACGTCTCAAAATCGTTTATAATTCTGCGATGAATATTAACGTTATGTAATATGTGGTAAGTCCATAATTTAAATTTGCTATGTCCTACCTAAATATACACAGGTTTTTAGGTAATAACTTATAGGTGTCCACAGTCGTTATATCACACAAATTTATAAAGCCGTTTCGCCTAAATTATCATATAAATCGCTTAACGTTATTTGCATACATCAGTTGGCTATGTACAGGGTGAGCTGTGTGAACTTTGTACCGTAAGAGATCATAGCTGACGAAGGCGAAAGAAGATTAAATAGACACAAAATATAAGCATACATTTAATACTTATCAGACTTCATTGGAGGTATTTGATTAATTTAATAGCGTGTGTATTTTCAAACTGTCAAAGTTATAATTGGTATACGCTAAGGGTGGTAGGGGTATTCTTCAACATCGCATGATTTTATGACCATAGACGACTGTAAAAGACACTTATACTCGTTGTGTACCTCCTGGAAAATAAATAATGATAAAATTAACAAGGTTCTACATTATTTATTGCTGTAATATACAATGCATAGTAAACACAAAATACACATTGTTGTTAGCTAATTTTTCTCAATTGTATGCTTCTCCAAATACCTAAGAGAAAGATTCTAAAGAAATGCAAGAATGAATAAAACTCGTGAAAGAATAATTCCAAATGAGAAAAATTAATTTAACGTTATTAGATTGTCTGTTATCGAAATTTAATCCTATTTCGATGGTGTCTGCACATAACTGTCAATAATATATAAATATACACGGTGATTCAAAATGCAGTACAAAGAATTTAGGGGCGTATTTTTGAGGTCAAAATAAGACTTGTTTTTCCTGCAAATGCTTAGTTTTCGATATACAGGAAAGTTTTTTATTTATTTTTTTTATTTTTTAGGAATAATTTCCAAAGAAAGAATGTTGGCAAAAAACTTGGGATACGGGGGTTTTTTAGAATGCTAAATTTAAATATGTCATTGGTTTTGACGCTGCTTGTAGAGGTCGCCACCTATAAGGGTACGCTTGAATTAAATTAGCCCTAA